ATATTTTTATATGGTTGCAGCAATCAGTTTTTGGTTGTCTATCCACAATGTCAGTATACGATTTCGATGGGTTAACGCAACTAAAAATTTGCTGCTACAACCAAAAACTGGTTGCTACAGACATATAAAAATGTTATGCCATATTTTACTACCTAAATGGTTGCAGCAACCAATTTTTTTTTTTTTTTTTTTCAGTGAACGAATATCGCATTACGAATGCGTAGCGGAATTTCTATATAAATACAATTCCGCAAGATATTTGCAAAATCCGTTGGCTAAAGAGTAAACTTTTCGTGTCGCAAGAAACTTTTCGTACTTTAAAGACGAAGCTTATGAATCTGAAAATATTTTGTAAATTGTAAACTTCTTAATATTTTGTGAAACTTCTTTTATCTCTTTAGAACAGTTTAAAGAAAGATTCTTGAAAAATTCACAGGTACGATTTGATGGTGGGTGTTGTTCGTTCCGAGGCGTATTTTTCGTTAACCGCCGACGACGCTCAGTACGGGATTGAGGCTGATAGGAGGACGAAGATTCTGCGCGAATTCGTGCGGAACACGTACACGTATCACCAGCCGGAAATTCTAGCAACTATAATAAACGAGTATACGGATTGGGAACGACCCGTGCAACATCCCGTCAATATTAGGTAAATTCTAAAGAAATTTCGATCGAAAAGCCAATTTCATACAACAAATACTTTTCTATTTATTTTAATTACCGTTACGTATCTATTTTAATTGATCTCCAGCTATTATTCATGTTATTGATGACGAATAAATCAATCGTGACATTTATTTAGTACATTTATTAGTTCTTCAGTCTACAATTATTTGTTTCAATATTTATTATTACGAACCAAACATTTATTTGTTGAAAAAACATTTCATTTTAAAATATTCTTTTTATTTTCATTGTACCCGTTATTTTTGCTGTAAAATAAAAATAATTATTATATATATACACGTGTATAAATTTAAATTTTCCCGAATTTCCTTCAATTCTACTTTATATTTTACTTATCTTAATTTTAATATTCATCTTGAAATTGATTTTCAGTCAGAGCTTGGAAGAAATTTTTACTAATTATATTTATAAATTAAAAAAAAAAAGAACCAAACACAAAAGGAATATACATCTTTTTCAGGGACGAGACTCTCGAGGCCCTGGGGGACGCGAATACAGTCGCTCCGGCAACGAGAACAGCGGATCTTCACAGTCAATCCCACAGAAACTCCTATCTGTATGTCTTCGACTATCAAACGAAATTCGGAGACTATCCTCAGGTTTGCTATCAGAATATACTTTCTATCGCACAAGTTGGAATGAAAAAGAACTGGAAGAATCTAGACGGTGCAAAATCTAGAGGGTAAAAAACATGTAGAAATATATATCCGATTATTTTTTTCTGTTATACAATGCTGTTAATATCATTACCAAAATCTATTATTTCGAATATTCGATTTATCTTCGAAATTGTAAAATTTAATAATAAATCTGTTTTGCAATAAATTGTGCATACCTTTACAGACTTTAAATATATGTATATATATAAAACGGTTAAAAAGCGTATTAAAAAATTCCATTCGTAAAAAATAGCGCAATAGAGATAAATTCGGTTCAATTCCTACGATCTCTTCCATATTTTTCATATTATTCATTTATTAAAGTCACTTTTAACGGGTATGTACGAGACAGAAGTTGGGATTCACCGGAAATACGACAACATGGCGGCGACTCTTGCTCCATATCTGATTTCAGAAACTTACGATGAGGGTGGAGGACGTACGGCCCCTTTCCTCTCTCACTCCCTTTTCCTACTCCCAGTTTCAAACTTTGAATGAATTTCAGTGGCGCGATTATTAATGTCACATATATATTAGCAATATCCACACTTCTCTCTTCCGGCTGTCTAACAAGAAACGGATGTGTAAAAGGAAATTCGAAAATTGAACCGATGAGATCAGTTATTACCGCTGCGCGGAATTTCGGAATATTATCTCAAGATATGTATTCTTGGTGCACCTACGTTAGAAACAGTTTGTGACCCACAACACCCCCGTGTACGTGAAATACACGGAGTAAACACAATAATAAATACAAGAATATAAATACGAATATATTATATATAATATATATATACACTGAAAAAAATACTGAATTTTAATAAATGTTCGTTGGAATAATTTTATTATAAGTAAATATTTATTAAATGTAAACATATATTTGATACGAAAATCATTAATTTGATTCAACTGTCACTTTTTTTTTGTATTGAATAAATATTTTTATTTACCGCAAGTAAATGTTTATTTAGTGCTATTCGAAGAAATATTAAAGTTAAAAAGAATTTTTTTTTTTTTTTTTTCAGTTTATAAACACGAAATGCGGAATGCAAGGGGATTAAAAACTTGTTAGGTCTTTGACAGGAACAGAATAATCCTCCTGTTAAAAATTTCTTTCGCGAAAAATAAAATTTCGCTGCATAAATTATCACCATATTTATCTCTCCGTAAATTCGAAAAACAGCGAAGAAGTGGAATTTTAAAAAGAAACTTGAACGAACGAGAGAGAGAGAGAGAGAGAGAGAGAGAGACGAAAGGCGGAAGAGGAGGATTTGAAATTCCACGTTCGCCTCGCACCTGCAGCTTCCGCGCACTTTTTCCTTTTCACCCCATGCCGTCATTTCTACCGGCACCTTTATGCCTTACACCCGGTGCACTTTGCATACGAATATCGTCTGGCACCTCGACCTGGCGATCACCCGTTGCCGTCACCAGCAAAATGAAAGTGCATTAAACGTTCAACGCGCCTTCCCGCCTCGCGCCACGAAGTCAACGAAGAATAAGGATCGCGCGTAAACGCTGCAACGAACTTATTGCGTCTGCACGACTGCATCCAGAAAAACGTTTCGGTCGCATTCGCAGTAGAACGTTCGCCTCGCGAAGAATATAACGCTAACTGGATATTTTATATTCCTGCGCTGCGAAATGAAATATACCTATACAACTCGACATTGAAGCGTTTTTAATGTATTATTTAACATTTCGAGAAACGTCTAGCTTCATATTTCGTCAGGCCAATTACTAATCAGTTATTGCAAAATGAGTCATAACGGAATAATATGTTGATACATGTTAATTCATCAAAACGTGATCATGATCAAAAGAGTAATTATTTCCTGTTTAATGAACGATAATTTAATCGTGATTTGATTACTGCTATTATTCATTAACCATTCCAACAGTTTATTCTGTAATTGTTAACATCAACCGCCAATTTCTGTTATTCGATAACAATTATTGGATCGTATTTTATTCTTGGATCCCGAATTGCAGCATAAAAACTGCCGCTTTAAAAGTCGGCTACGGATAGAAACACGATTCCGCTATTTCTCGTGGATAATTCGAATTTTTCGAGGACGCAAACTCTGCACTCGGGCTTGTTAAAATGGCGGGCGAACTCGAAGTTTGCAGAATAGGCTGAGGTATTTTTACAATTTCAACGAGAAATCGTAGGTGCACCTGTAACTTCGGCAGATTCCATGAGTGCTTTCGTATGATCGAGCGTGAAAGAGAATTCTTCGGAAAAAATTCCATGGTTAGGTCCGCTCCCCGATCCTTTCGTTTCCTCCCCTTTCGCTCCGACCACGCGATTGAATTATTAAAGCCACAATCGGAGTCGTCTCGAATCGACTAATTTTTATATCTGCCGTTTTAAAGAGAAAAAAACAAAGAAAGAAGGAGATGTAAAAAAATTGCACTAGTTAACAAATTTGGAAAAAATTATGCTCAAGACGTCTGATTTGTTTTTGTATACTTCAATAAAACTTCACTATATACGTATATTGAGAAAAATGTTTTTTCTCACCTATATCTCAAAAACAGAACCTAATAGAGATAGTTTAATTCAAGCGCAGCGTCAAAATTTATCCTAGACAATCTTCATATGCTCTCGCATAAAAAATCTTAAACTACAGTTCATTATCATATCATATTATACGTATAGAAAAGGAGATAAAAATAAATATGAGGGCATAATAAACAGAAATAAATTCCTATTTATACTGTTACTTTAAGTCCTATTTATATTAAAAATGAAGTAAGCTTAAATTTCTATCATGCATTATATTAATTATTATTTCAGAGGCCGGGATGTATCCACGGGGAGGAGCTGCCATATTTTTTCGGAGCGCCCCTTGTTGGAGGTTTGTCTCATTGGCCGAAGAACTATACCAGAGCCGAGATAGCGCTCTCCGAGAGTGTGATACTCTATTTGACAAACTTTGCACGTACCGGGTAAGTAGTGGGGAAAAAAGCATCCCTCGCGATATTCTCGCAATGAAATAAAAGGCCGACCGGTTTACTATTAACGATGCTCCTCGTCAGGAATCCGAACGAGGGCACTCCTGATCCTGGACCCCTCGGTTCCAGACCGGAAAGGACCAAGTTCAAAAATATCGACTGGACCGCTTATGAGGCCGTCCATAAAAAATATCTTAGCATAGGTGAGTCTCTGTAACGTTTCTCTTTAATCTAATCTATTCTTTTATAAAATCTTCCGGTCGTAAAAAAGCTCATTCCTTTTTGATATTTTTTTGTTAATCCTTCGTCTCGGCACATCCCCTTTAATTTCAAAACTGCTTGCTCCACTTTTCAAACTGAAACTTAACCTTTGAGTTAATTCAATGATGCTTTATTCGATTTTAATTTAAAAAAATATTCAAACTGGTGAAGTCAGTATGGTGGATAGAAAAAGCAGAAATATTTCAATAGAAAATCTGATTTTTGTTAAATTTGATATTAGAGAATTTCTAATTTAAAATGACACACACAGCTCTATTTCAAGACTACTCCAAGCAGTTAGTAACTATTTCCGACCTACTAAACTTTAATTATGAGCCTTGTAACACAAGATTTTCCTTCATTGGAGACTACTATCTTTGAAATTCAATCTTTTCAAACTACATCGAAACTCAGCGATATTATAAGAATCTCCTAAAATGAATTTCAACAATATTATTTGTTTTCAATTTAAATTTTTTAATTCTGTCCAGAATTTAGCAATTCCGGAAACCTTTAGAAAATAAGATCTTCTTTGAGTTTCTTTGCTGGAAAACTTCTCAAATTAATTTGTTCTTTTTCATGTGAAGAATGTAATATTGAAAAATGTTAAATTTTATATATATTTTATGGCACAAAATTTATAATAATAATAATAATATATATAAAACTACATTTTTTATTTATTTCTTATACAACTTTACAAATACTTTCTACAGATCTCAAAAGCTGTACAAAACAATGGTGTGTA